GGCCAGGGAGGACAGCAGAGCCCTATCTCCTGGGTAGTCCAGCAGATCCCTGCACATAGAAGACAAGCTCTCTACCAGAAAAGTAACGCTCAGAGCCCTGACAGTCCTCTTGAAGGGTGACACCCTTCAGCTATTGTAGGTAGTTCTCATACCCACCCTGATTACTACCCTTAGTCACTCCGGGCCACACCGAGTACACTACGTGCTCTTCTATTCTGAGCTGCACCTCGGTCACTGCTCGCTATTAATCATGTGCTCCAACTTTTTTCCCATGGAGGAAGTAAGGGAGAGCTTTCCCGCATCTGCCATCTACTGGTGAAAATGAAAATGCTCTATTGTTCTTTTTCTTAATTGTGGTCAATTGGAAACTAAGTTGGCATCTGAAAGCTTACTGGCATAATACTCATTTGTTATGTGGAGCACATTTGAGAAAGGCAATACTGCCAATGGTGGCTGGCTCCTTTTGTTCTGTAAGTGTTCACGGAGTATGTAATGTGAAATGATATACACAAAAGATACATATTCATATCTTCAGTGTAAGCCTGAGACTTGGAATCAAATTTGGTTTTGCTTTTTTGTTTTGTGTGGTTTTGGTTTGGTTCTTATTAATCTAAAAATTTTTATATCTATTTATTTATTGGCGGTAGGGTATCAACATATCACCGCATGCATGTAGAGGTTAGAGGACAATTTGTGAAAGTCGGTTCAACCACTGGGTTCTGGGAACTCAAACTCAGGTCCTCAGGCTCAGCAGCAAGTGCCTTTAACTGCTAAACCATCTCACTGGCTTTTTTTTTTTTTTTTTTTTTTAAGCTGAGAGTCTCATGTAGCCCATGCTAGCTTCAAACTCATATGCAGCTGACCTTGGCCTTGAACTGATCTTTTCTTCCTCCTAAGATCTGGAACTAGTTATCAAGTGAACAGGTGGCTACAAGCAGGCAAAAGCTCTGTGGTGACTTGAGAATGGCCCCCACAGGCCCATATATTTGAATATTTGGTTTTCCAACTGTTTAGGAAGGATTAAGAGGTGTGGCCTTGTTGGAAGAGGTGTGTCATTGTGGGTTGGCTTTGAGGTTTCAATAGTCTCCCTTACTCTCTGCCTCCTGCTGTGGATCAGATATAAGCTCTTAACTATAGCTCCAACACCATGCCTGCCTGCCTGCCTGCCATAATCATGGACTAACCCCCTGAAACTGTAAGCAAATGCCCAATAAATGCTTCCTTTTCTAAGTAGCCTTCGTCATGGTGTCTCTTCATAGCAGTAGAACAGTATAACTAAGACAACTCCAACAGTATTAACAGACACCAGGGGCCTAGAGGTTGTGTGGCCTCAGGCTGAGCCCATTCTCTTCCTGTCTTCCATCTTGGCACAAATCAGCTCTTGACTCTTAGGTGTGCCTGTTTTGTGATACTTCCCAGACCTCAAGTTTCTGCAGTTATTTTTAGCTGTAGTTTTAGTGCATTCTTGAGACAGGTGAGGCATGAAGAGGAATGTAGGTGTGGGCCACCCTTGAGTCTGTCATTCCAGCCGAGAGTGACTCACACCCCTTTTCATTATCTGCCCCAAGGCTAGGTTTCACCTCAAGAAGTCTGGATTAGAACTGCTGTAGTCTATTCTCTTTAGTCTAATTTCTTCTTGAGGATATGCCTTCTTCATGCTTTGCTACATAATTCTGGTAAGGTGGATTCCTTTGTTTTCTGTAACCAACACTACAGCCTCTGGTTCTTTCTGGTCCCATTTCCCAGAGCTTTGAGGTACTTAGTAGACGGAGTCTGATAGAGGTGGTAGAGAGCTGCCAGGCAGGAAGCTACCTGGAAAGCTCCCTGGCTCTAATCCAGGTGTCTATGAGCAGCCAGAATTCTGGGATGTTTGTTGCATTTTTGAAGAAACATGATCAAGTTGAGTCTTTGCCCTTCATAGCAACAACTATGAGCTATACTTCCAAGCCTAGCACAGGTGTGTGTGTGTGTGTGTGTGTGTGTGTGTGTGTGTTATGCACTTGTTCTCCTGTGTGTACCTGTGTACTCATGTGTATGTGTGTAGAAGCCAGACGTCAATGTCTGGTGTCTTCCTCGATCACGCTTTAAAAAGTGTCTCCAAAATAAACATATCCCTCAGCTCCTTGGACCTAAAAGAAAAATTGAGGCTGAAATAATTCCAAGCTCTCTTTACTGTGCCCCTCCCCCAGTCATACCCCAATTCAATTTTAACTTGCTTCTAAAAGTCCTCCACAGAGTGAAAACATCAGCCATCCATTGATGCAAGATAAAGATGCTACTACCAAAGCCACCCTGAAGAAGCCTCTCAGGAAAATTTGATTTGTAGAACATTGGGTTCAAGGGGTGCCTGACTCCTCACAAGTATGGCCCCTCTCATTTATTTGCCCCTCCCCCTTCCTTTGGATTGTCTGACTCCTCTAACTTACCCTTCACTCAAATGCATCATGAGCAGCAATGAAACTCAAAGCATGGGGCTGTCACTCCACCGGTAGAGTCCTAACCTAAGAGGCACAAAGCCCTGGGTTTGATCTCCAGCATCACTACATAAACCAGGCAGAGTGGTACACATGTATAACCTCAGCACTCAGAGGCAGAGACAGGAGGATCAGGAGTTCAAGGCCACCCTCAGCTACATGAGCTGGAGGCCAGCCTGGGATACATAAGACCCTGGCTAAAAAGAAAAAGAATTTAGGCAATTAAGAGCAAACCAGGCCGGGCGGTGGTGGCGCACGCCTTTAATCCCAGCACTCGGGAGGCAGAGCCAGGCGGATCTCTGTGAGTTCGAGGCCAGCCTGGACTACCAAGTGAGTTCCAGGAAAGGCGCAAAGCTACACAGAGAAACCCTGTCTCGAAAACCCCAAAAAAAAAAAAAAAAAAAAAAAAAACCCCAAAAAAAAAAAAAAAAAAGAGCCGGGCGGTGGTGGCGCACGCCTTTAATCCCAGCACTCGGGAGGCAGAGCCAGGCGGATCTCTGTGAGTTCGAGGCCAGCCTGGGCTACCAAGTGAGTTCCAGGAAAAGGTGCAAAGCTACACAGAGAAACCCTGTCTCGAAAAAACCAAAAAAAAAAAAAAAAAAAAAAAAAAAGAGCAAACCAGAGCAAAGCTACATGCTGTATTTTAGTTTACTACAAAGGCCTTAACCATAGGTACTGCTCCAAGGAACATCTGTGGTGTAAACAAACCCCTTTCAGAGCTAGGGAGAAAGCTGTTAGTGAAGAGCTTGCTTTGAAAACACAAGAACCTGAGTTCAACCCCCGGAAGTCATCAACAGCCAGGTACGGCACACACTTGTAATCCGAGTGCTGAGGAGCAGGAACAGGCGCATTGCTGAGGATCACTGGCTAAGCAGCCTAGCTCAATCAGTGTGCTCCAGGCCAACGAAAGACTGCCTCAAAGGGAGGTGGATGGTGTTCCTGAAGATGAGCCCCAGGGCTGACCGACACACGCATGAGCACATACGTGCATACCCTCACACACACTAGTCACCAGGCTGGGATGGGAAGCTGTGGAGATGGCTCAGGGAAGAGTGCTTGTTGTTCAGATCTCTAACATCCATGTACAACGCTGGGTGTGTGATCATGTTCACCTCTAACCCCAGAGCTGGGGGGTCAGAGACAAGAGGACTGCTGGGGCTTGCTGGCTGCCAGTCTAGCTGCAGGTTCAGAAAGAGACACTGTCCAGGGGAGTCAAGCAAAGAGTCATAAAGACCGGCCTCCAGTGTTCTCTTCTGGCTGTGTGAGCACGTGTGCACACATGCATGCATACATACACACACACACACCTACACACACACACACACACACACACACACACACACACACACACACACACACACAGGCCCTATCCCCAATGCAATGAACAGTCTGAAGAGTCCACCCTGGACTACACTAGAAGACAATATCCTTCTTACACTTTCTCTTTGAGAAAAACAACCTTTGGAACATGCACTTTTCTCAGTTGCACATGTCAAGCATCTCTTTTTCCAAGTTTCACTCTTAATCTGTGTCCATCAGTGGTTCTCTGACATCTCTGACCTAACATTCCACACACACTTTTAATAAAACCATGACAGTCAACAAAAATCATTGGGCACCTTCCATGTGTAAAAGCCCTCAGAATTCAGGACTATTCACGAACCAGCAGCTCAAAAAGGGGTTTCTGATGTCCAACAACCCACACTCTTGACTACACTTCCAGGGCAGGAGCTACTTCCTCCTCTGGCAATGTCCCAGCTCATATCTGAATTCACCCAACAGAAAGAAGAGTAACATGATGTACAATAACAAGAAGATGAAGTTAAGACCGTAGAATTACCTTCCTTTCTGATGCACTGATGCAATTCATCACCTAGGAACAGGAATTATTCAAGAAACTAGTTTTCCTTGTCACTCGGTTAGCCCAAGAAAGCAGGAAAATGTATTCTGGGCTCTGAAGCCCTCTGCAGCTTCACCAACGCAAAGACAATGCAACCTCCTTTTAAGAGGACTTCCCTTTTAAAGCCATCCATCATCTTGCTCTCAATTTTTTTTTCCATCACAAAATGGTGTTCACCTTAATTAAGGACAACCAATGAATCTGTCATGTAACCACACCGACAGGTCCCTGTCAGCAAGAGCTACAAAGCCCTTTTTTTGTTTTCGTTTTTTTGTTGTTTTTTTTTTTGTTTTTCGAGACAGGGTTTCTCTGTGTAGCTTTGCGCCGTTCCTGGATCTCGCTCTGTAGACCAGGCTGGCCTCTAACTCACAAAGATCCGCCTGCCACTGCCTCCCGAGTGCTGGGATTAAAGGCGTGCACCACCACCACCCGGCTGAGTTACAAAGCCCTTTAACAGAAAGGTCTCCAAAGAATTTGAATACTGCTCTTTTTAGAGTTTGATTCTTGGCATCCACAAAGGTGGCTCACCACCAGCTCCAGGGAGATCTGACTCCTCTGGACTCTGAGGGCACTAACACAAAAGTGTGTGCATGCACACACAGACACACACACACAAATAATAAAAATACATCTTTAAAAATAATAATTATTGTTCCACACCAGGCTTAATGACGGCAGGATAGGTTTACACCCCAGTCTGTAAAAGCTTTACAATTAACGACAGATGATGCTCTTCCTCGGCCAGGCCCTGCCTTGCAGGTGGAAAAGGCAGAAGAACACACAGCACTGTGTCAGGCGAGGAATGCAAGCTGGAGAGCAGTCAGTCGGGGTCAACACTGTCAGAGTTGTCCCACTGCAATGACACTCCAACCCTCGGAGAGGAAACTGAGCTCCCAGCTGGCCGAGCGGCCTCTGGACAGGATCAGAGGGGAGGGTCCCTGCTGCCGTCCATCTCTGCACAGCTGAGCAGAAGTCCTGTCTCTGAAGCCGTTAGCGACCTTTCCGCTTCTTCATCTTCCCCCCAGCCACCTTGTTCCTCACACCGATAGCGCCCTCGGTGTCATCATCATCTCCTGCGTCCTCTCGCTTACGCTTCTTCTTTTCTCCATGCTCCCTTAACTCCTGCGGGACAGCACAAAGGATGTGATTGGACATGAGTTAACAGCCTTCAGGTCAGAGGTTACCAAGAAAAGGAAAAGAATCAACCCCAAATCTTATACACAGTGACCAAAGCATGAAAATAAGACTGGCACAGATATAAGAGAATGGTGATCCTAGTACCGGTGCCCCCAGTCACATGACCTGCCACAGCTTTTCTAGAGGGCAATCTGGCATTCTGTAGAAATTCAAACTTTGTATGTGTACTCCTTGGTCAATTTCACTTCTAGAAGTTTAAGAAAACAAACAAAGGTACACATACTAGGATATTCAACAAAGCCATTGTTACAGTGGAGAAAAACAAACATTCATCAATATAAATCACGTAACCTGAATGTGATGGAATTCTTTGTAGTCATTAAAGAATGATCCCATGTGCTGATCATGGTGGTGCATAGCTATAATCCCAGCACTTAAAAGGCTGAGGCAAGAGGCTAGACATGAGTCTAAGGGCAGCCTGGGCTACACAGTAAGTGCAAAACTAACCTGAGCTACAAAGCAAAAACCTTGCCTCAAAAATCCAAAAATAGCAAACCGATCACATGGTGGACAGGAGAGTAGAACTGACTAAAAAAAGAAGATCACATGATTATACTTGGTGAAACGCACTTATTAGTCAAATATAATTAGGTAAGTTGAAATTAGGTCAATGCTATCAATGGTTCTCCCTGGTATCTGGTTTACCTCTTCAGTTACTACTTTAGTACTTTCTGTATTTTCTGAAATTTTTTTCCTAGTACATATATCCGGCCTGAAACTCTCAGTGACCCCCAATTCAGCTTCAAAAGTGCTGGGATTATAGGCATATGCCATTATACTTAACTATAGGTAGCACTTGTGTGTGTGTGTTTGGGGGTAGGGGGAAGTGTCCATTTTGTGTGTGCATGCACATGCAGGCCAAGGAACAACCTGGGGTGCTGTGCACCTTTCTTATCCACCACAGACAGCAATTTTATAAACAAAAACCACAGCAAGCCTGAAGGCAAAACTTCCAAGGGTTTCCTCTAGAATCTTCTCTCTGCTGCTACTGCCACTACCCCTACTACAGTCAGTTCACACAGCTTGTCTGGTGCTAGGATATACTGAAGGCATTCAAGGAAATGTTCTTCCCCATTTATAGGGGAGGAACTGGTTCTGAGATGTGAGCAAAATGACCAAGCTCACTCTAGCCACAGCTAGCCTTCTGACCTTGAGATTGACCTTTGTTGGAGGGAGGGCACAACACAGGAAGAGTGGAGAATGTGGTCACCCTGGTCAGACTACACCAACCCCAGATTCAGTGGTGCATTTCCCATGAACCCTCAACCTTTGTTTGCCCATCTTGAATCTGGAACAAAATGCAAGCATATGATGAGGGCACATCATCAGAAGCTGGTGAAAGCAGACCCTGCGTACCATTCGGGCAAATCTCTGGGCTTCACTCACACGTTCTGTGAGCATCATAACCTCCTCATCCTGAGTTGGAAAGACAGGCAGTTTCTTCCCAATTAAGTGCTCGATGCGCTGGAAGAGCTCCACATCGTACCTGAGGAAAGAAAATTGCCTGGCTCTGCTGGGCTGGCAAAGCCAGCATCTTCCAATGCCCAGTGCCATCATGTATAACAGAGTATGGGCCAGTTTTAAACAATGTTGAATATATGATTCCTTCTCAAAACACAGGTAAAAATGTAACCTTTGTGCCTGGACAGTTGGGAAATTGCCCATAGTATTATTTAGTCACAGCATAGGTGTCCCACATGTATTCATGTGCAGCACTGTAAGTGGATGTAGTGGGTTACACAGAAGAACAAAAGGACATGAAGGGAAGAGGAGAGTGAGTGAGGGGGGACCTGGTGGAGGGTATGATCAAGATGGGGAAAGGTGGTTTGCTGGTTAAGAGCATTGACTGCTCTTCCAGAGAACCAGGGTTCAATTCCCAGCACCCACATGATAGCTCATAATGGTTTCTAACTCCAGCCCCTGGGGATCTGACACCCTCTTCTGGCCTCTGTAGACACCAGACATGCACATGGTGCACAGACACACATGCAGGCAAAACACCCATATACATAAAAAATTAAAAATAAAAAAAGTCAGCTGGGTGGTGGTGGTGCACGCCTTTAATCCCAGCACTCGGGAGGCAGAGCCAGATGGATCTCTGTGAGTTTGAGGCCAGCCTGGACTACAGACTGAGTTCCAGGAAAGGCGCAAAGCTACACAGACTGTCTGTCTCTGCACTGCCCTGTCCCAGCACTGACTGACTTACTGTGTGACAAAAGTAATGGCCTTTCCAGAGCGCCCGGCTCTTGCAGTTCGCCCCACTCGATGGATATAATCCTGGAACAGAAGAGGCGAATCAATTCAGATCAGGTAAGGAAGGTCGGACGGACGCCGATGGAGTACTACTCAGCAGAGAAAACAATGACAGCATGAAATTTGCAGGCAAATGGAAGGAACTAGAAAATATCATCCTGAGTGAGGTAACCCAAACCCAGAAGGACAAACATGGTATGTACTCATAAGTGGATTCTAGATATAAAGCAAAGAACAATCAGACTGCAACCCATAGAACCAGGGAGGCGACATAGCAGGATGACTGTGGCTTATAATAAGTTTTGGTTTTACTCAATTACTGGGCAAGCCTCAATCAAACATTTCACTATTAGGATAAGAATTTATACTGTATCAAGCTGATAATAGAAAAATAAATAAATAAATAAAAATGAGGGGTAAAAAAGAAAGGACGTGTGCAAAGTCCTGCTGCAAGCCTTCCAAAGAAAACACAGACCTCTGGAACATGGAGGACATGCCCTGGGAATTTGCTGAGCAATCTATTTCTTTTTGTTTGTTTGTTTTAACATTCTCATGGCACAAAATTCATCCAATGCCTGTTTCTCTTATACAAAGACAAACCCACAGCACCTATCTCCATGGCTGTGGCAACACTGGATAAAGTAGAACACTGGAGCCGGGCGTTGGTGGCGCACGCCTTTAATCCCAGCACTCGGGAGGCAGAGCCAGGCAGATCTCTGTGAGTTCGAGGTCAGCCTGGGCTACCAAGTGAGTTCCAGGAAAAGGCGCAAAGCTACACAGAGAAACCCTGTCTCGAAAAACCAAAAAAAAAAGTAGAACACTGGATCTAGGGTCCTACACAATTATCTGAACATCTACTTCTCTGAACTTCAGTTCCTATTTATAGACCAGGGCTAGAAATGAATGCCCAAACTTAGAATTGTTGTAAAAATCAAATGAGACAGCAACTTATCTGTAACAGCTCAACAAGGAGCCAAGAGAAACAAAGTTCCACCAGGGGTGATCCTGCCTCTCCCAGGGGACATTTTTGGTTGTCTCAACTGGAAGAGTGTGAGATAGTATCGTCAAGTAGACTAGAGGAATGCTAAGCACACTGAACACAAACAATGACTCCCAAGACAAAGAATCCACCAGTCCAGACGCTATCAGTGCCAACACTGAGAAATGCTGAGACACTAAGCATCGGAAGCCGCTGTCTGTAAAGAAGGGACCGAGTGGTCAGCATCCTGTATTTGCCCTGTGTATTAGCAGTGATGATTCTCTGGTCTGGACTGTGTCTAGTAACTCTGCCTGGGACCTTCACACTCACATCAGCAAAGCTGCAAACACAGGCATGTGCAAATGGTGAGGATAAATCAGTCAAGAGCTTTCTCAGTTGGTGCTTTTTGAGACAGGGTCTCATGCAGCCCAGGCTGGTCTTGAACTTCCTATGTCCTTGGGGATGACCTTGAAGTCCTGATCTTCCTCTGAGATTACAGACCTGGGCTACCATGCCCAGTTTATTTGGGGCTACAGCTCAAACCCAGAGTCATATGCATGCCAGGCAAGAGTTCTCCCAATGAGCTCTATCCCACCACTCTCTCAGATTCTGATACTGAACTAATAGAGGACAGAAACACTACATATTAACTAAGGAAAATCAAACGACCAAAAAAAAAACCCCACATTATTTAATAATAATCTTTGGAACTAGAAAGTCCAGGCAGCAAGAGGACCTACCTTAGAGTGAGTTGGAATGTCAAAATTGATCACTACATCCACATGGGGTATATCCAGACCTCTGCTGGCGACATCAGTTGCTAGAAGAATGGATCGAGCCTTGGCCTTAAACTTATTAAGGGACCCAAGGCGCTTGCTCTGAAATGAGGAAAAGAAATGAGAAACTTTTATTCTGAAAAATAAAGGAATCCTGGCATACTTGACACGGAATACAAACACAATAAAAAATTAATGTTTTGGGCCGGGTGGTGGTGGCACACACCTTTAATCCCAGCACTCGGGAGGCAGAGCCAGGCGGATCTCTGTGAGTTCGAGGCCAGCCTGGTCTACAGAGTGAGTTCTAGGAAAGGCACAAAGCTACACAGAGAAACCCTGTCTCAAAAACAAAAAAATAATGTTTTTATATAGTTTTCCCTTCTAAGTCAAGGCCAGGGCTTCACAAGTCAAAACAAATATGGAAACAACAAAAAATACTTAAGACAGGCCACAAATGGTAACACAAAACAAAGACTATTTTCCAACATGTCAGAAAGATAATCAAAAAATATGTTATTAACAGTCTTCAGAGACCAGAGAATCATCACTGCTAATACATCAACTCAACAGCTTACAAACCAGACAACTGCCTATAAAATGTTCTTTTGTGTACATGTGTATTCACATGTATACAGAGACGCACATGAGTACACACATGAACATGTACAGGGAGGCCAGAGGACACCCTTAGGTGTTGTGACAATCTCATTTTGAGACACAATTTCTCACTGACTTGAAGCTCAGCAATTAGTCTAAGCTGGTTAACCAGTAAGCTGAGCTCCAGGCAGCTGGGATTACAAGCACAGGCCACCACACAAAGCTCTGGGAGTTTCTGGGGCTCAAACTCAGTTCCTCATGCTTGCATGGAAAGTACTTTACCAACAGAACCATCTCATCTACGAAATATTCAATATGAGCAACCCGCTTCTGAAAAGGAAAGCAAGCTTACAAAGCAACATGTCAAAGCCCGTAGACTAGGCGGAGTGTGCAATGGGCACAGGTACCCTCCGTCCTGATGCACACTAATCTACTGATGCAGGTCTGCCATCCTCATCCCAGCAGTTCCTGACACAGGACTCTTACCTGACTCATCTGTCCATGCAGGGGGATGGCAGTGAATCCGAGATTTCGGAGTAGCAAAGCCGTTCTCTGAGTATTGTTACAGGTGCTGCAGAATATCATAAAGGAGTTGCCAGCCAATTCATTGAGAATATAAACCAGATAGGTGTCCTAAATCACAAACCCAAAACAAGGAACATAACTGACCTGGAAGAAGGGTGGGAGACCTAGCAACATGGAGAAAAAGACCAAGCTTGTGGGAGTGTCTCAATTATCCAACCACCAGCTCTGAGCTTTACACTTCTTCCCTGCTACTCCCAGGTTTTTGGACAGGGTATCTGTGGGGAGTGGAGGAGTCCCTGAGAGAATGTGGAAGGAGCAGACTGAAGTCCTGTCCTGAGTTGTTGTTGACATGAAGAAAATGGCCATGAAGGCCCCCGATGCTCCAGACCCATGGAAACAGCAAGCCTTTCCTGGTCAGGCTCAGGGACCCACCAGTGTGCCAATGTTGACAGTGTGCAGAAAACTGTCAATCACAGCTTCCTCCTCCAGGATGTGTACAGCCTGAGACTGCCCCTCGACAGGCCCACTACAGAGAACAGCTGAACCTACTCGTGTATATAATAAAATAAACACGCTGGCTTTCCCAGTTGCTGTTGATGCGACTCTATCAGAATGCACAGTCCACCCAATCCCAGCTAATCTGTGCCTAAGGTTTCTTAATTTCCAGTTGCCCTATCTAGGTCAATCCCAATGCCCAGGTTGTGGCCGGTCTCACTATGTGGTCCAAACTGGCCTCAAAACTTACTATGAGGCCCAGGCTGGCCTTGAACCTATGGTGATCCTCTTGCTTCAGATTCCAGTGCTGGGATTTCAGGTATGCACTGTCACACCTAGCTAGCTATATGAGCTCTGTGAACCAAGCACCCCAACACATCCTGAGGCCACACAAATCTGTACACAGCACCCAAGCAAGGTCTTTCTAAAGCAGCCATGAAATAAGCAGACAACGTAAAACTGAGCACAAGGGTGACCTGGGGAGGAAGGAACTCTGACATTCTATCACAGCTTCTACTTTGGTTTAATGCTGTGAATTCTTGGCATGTTCACTTTATCTGTGATAAACACAAGCTGGACACGCAGCTCTCGGCTGGTCAAGAGTGACACATTCTCAGATGCTTTGGTGAGGACAGGAATGGTTGCAATGACAAAGTCAACACTTCACCTTGAATTTGGAGGGAATAAAAAGGTAATACTGCTGCAGCTTCTCAACAGTCTGGTACTTAGAGGAAACGGCACACTTCACAGGGTTCTTGAGAGCTGCACGCTGAAGTTTTTGCACCTGCAGAAGAAAATAGAACAACACATCAATTCCTAAATGCTCGATGTTTTTATTGTTATGTGCTTTCACTGCTGTTGTTATACACTGACTCCCCACCCACCCGTGCGTGCGCGCACGCGTGTGTGTGTGTGTGTGTGTGTGTGTGTGTGTGTGTGTGTGTGTGTGTTTGTGTGTGTGTGCGCGCGCGCGCGCGCGTGCGCGCGCGCGCGCACCAGGCATTGAATCCAGAGCATCACCCACGTGATTAGCAATTGTTCTATTACCAGCTACATCTCCAGCCCTAGTTTGACATTCTACTTTGAGACAGGTCTCACTAAGGTACCCAGACTGGCTCTGAGCTTACTTTGTGGCCTACAAGGCCTTAAACTTGTGATCCTCCTGCCTTAGCCTCCCAAATAGCTGGTATGCACTACCACACCTGGTTTGTATATCAATTCCTTTTTTTTAAATTAATTAATTTTGGGTTTTATGTGGGTAGGATCTCACCATACAGACCAGCCTGACCTGAACTCACCGAGGCCTACCTGCCCTTGTTCATGTATCAATTCTTGTAAGAGGAAAACAGTAGTCCAAGCAAACCTCACCTTCTTGGTCATGGTAGCAGAAAAGAGAAATGTTTTCCGATCTCGGGGAATCACTTTGAGGATCTTGTCAACCTGAGGCACACAGGAAAGAATGCCACTAATATTTAAGATGTCTATAGATTCTCTGCATTGGGATGGGGTGGAGGTAGGGGAACGCACATGGGGATGGGACTGAGAACCAAATCTCAGAAGGTTTAGGATTTAAAATACAATTTAAATTCATCTAGAATTTACTGGACATTTGCACTCTTGCTACTAGACCAGATGTTTTATATTTTTAAAATACCATTAAAAGAACAATTTAAAGCTAAGTTAAGAAAAAGGCCAAAAAATAAATATTACTCAATTAAATAAACAATGTCAAGTAGGTTATCAAAGACAGTGAAGACATTCCAAGGTATACATAAGAGACTTAGGCCAAGTGAAGTCCCACCTCTGAAGTCAGTCACAACTGTATTCTAAGAGGCACCAAGAATGCAGAAAACCCATGGACACGCTGCTGAGGCTGACAAGGTGCGCTATACACCACGTGCACAAGGAACCAAAAGCAGCCTGAACGAGGACCAGAGAAGCTCTAGGGAGGACCAATGTTAAAACTCACCTCTGTCTCAAAATCCATGTTCAGTATCCGGTCTGCCTCATCCATGACCAAGTACTTAAGAGCTCTTAAGTTGAAGCCTTTGGTGTTTTCCAAGTGGTCAATCAGTCGGCCAGGAGTGGCTACCAAGAAAGGTTGAGGAGAAAGGACCCAAGGATGAGAAAGTAATCTGCTCCCCATAAAACAACAGGACACCTGAGAGTTAAGCAAGGTGTCAGGGTCCACTCCCCAGGTGCCACCCAACATGGTAGATTTCCTCCAACCCATCCGGCCATGGTGGCCTTTACCTCTGTCAGGGACTCACCTATTACTATATGTGGTTTTTTGGCCAAGGCTAGTGACTGGGACATTGAATCAATCCCACCAACAATCACAGCTGCAGAAACAAAGCAAATACACAACAGTGATTCTCAGTCTTCTCACTGAACACCTGCAAAGCCAATGCTAGATCTCTACTTACATTTGTCCAGCCGCCCAAGCTCAACCACAGCACCAACTGCTTAGATCACAGCATGCTACCAGCGCTCTCCTCCCTCTCCTTCCCACTCTTCCCCACTTGTGATGACACCCGGGGTGCTTGCTGCTCTTCTTAGACACTCACCACACTGCACTCCGATGGAGGACCCCAGGGCCTCGAACTGCTCAGAGATCTGAAAGGCCAGCTCTCGAGTAGGCGTGAGGACCAAGGCAAACAAGCGCTGGGGAGTCTCCAGCAGTGCGTTCAGAATGGGCAAAGCAAAGGCCCCTGTTTTCCCAGACCCGGTTTCCGCCAACCCAATAATATCACGGCCTGAGGAAGAAAACGCAACAAAACCCTAGTACAAAGAAATGCCCTCTGGGCTCCGTCAAAGTTGTCTATAGTTACACAGTGCTGAGCATTAGAGACTGAATAAATGAAACCTAGATAAGCTAAAATCAATGACAGGACAAATACAAAAATATGTTTAATTTGAAGCTAATTTTTTTTTTAGGTTTTTAATTATAAATGCTTGGCCAATAGCTTAGGCTTGTTACTAGCTAACTCTTACATTTTAAATTAACCCATATTTCTTATCTACCCTCTGCCACATGGCAGTACTTTATTTATTTATTTTTATTTTTATTTGAGACAGGGTTTCTCTGTATAGTTTTGGTGCATGTCCTGGGTCTTGCTCTGTAGACAAGGCTAGCCTCGAACTCACAGAGATCTGCCTGCCTCTGCCTCCTGAGTGCTGGGATTAAAGGCATACACCACCACACCTGGCTTAATTTGAAGCTAATTTTTTAAAAAACTTATATTTGTGTGTTCTCTCTCTCTGTATATTCATGTATATTCCATAGTGTAGCTATGGCAGTCAGAGAACAACTTGTAGGAGTCAGTTCTCTCCTTCCACCATGTGGGTTCCAGAAATCAAACTCTGGTCATGAGTTTTAACAGTAGGTACCTTTAACCAATGAACAACCTCACCAACACAATTATGTTTAATTTGATAAGGCCTTAATGACAGACCCTAGAAAATATAATGAGACCATAAAGGAAAATGCCAGGCTAACAGAGACCTCCAAGTTCTGTCTGGAAGTAGGCAAAGAAGGGAAGGACAGCTATTCCTCATGAGGAAAGGGGCTGGGGCTTTAAGAAACAGCGCACAAAGGAAGAGTGAGAAGCCACATCCGGACTGAATACAAAGGCATTATACGGGAAAGGAGTGAGACCAGAAAGGAACTCATAAATCCCCAATAAGTTTTGATAAACAGGGAATTTCACAACTGATGTTATTCTTCAGCAAGATAAACCTGGATGAGGCAAGGAGCTGAACAGTGCATCCGATGAAACACACCTTAGGCCCAGCTGAATGGGAGGCTTGGAGAGAGGAGCACTTGGGCCCAGGAGTTTGAAGCCAGCCTGGACAACACAGCAAGGACCCATCTCAAACACAGAAACCAACAAAAACTGGGTGAAAGGAAATGTGATGGGTGACCAATCTAGTTATGGGAAACTCAAAAGCCAAAAATAGAAATAGGAACTACAGAACAATTATTCTAGGAGGAAGATAACAATTCTGGATACAGAGAAGGTTCAGAGAGAGTCAGCCACAAGCCAACTGGACATACTTATGCCAGCAGTCCTTGAGCTAACTTCCTGACGAACAGATCATGAAATGTCCCTGACTTCCATAACTAACTGACCCATGAGCATCTTCACAGCCTCATTCTTTCCCTTTCCCAGAAGGCCTGTGTTCAGTCACCCGTGCTCTCCCTCCTCTGCATGCTCCACCTCATTCCCAGTGCTGGAGATGCACGCATACATACATATACGCATGCTAGCAATGCAGACATGGGAGCGGTGGATCTCTCCTGGTTACTGCTTCCCGAGGGACAGACACATCAGCTACAATCATGAGGGATGTATGCCTATCTCCATCCATGTCCCATGTCTGAAAACTCTTTCTGCTTTGCGTTTGTTTATTTGTTTGTTTGTTTTGTTGTTGTTTTGAGACAGGGTTTCTCTGTGTGGTTTTGGTGCCTATCCTGGATCTCACTCTGTAGACCAGGCTGGCCTTGAACTCAGAGACCCGCCTGGCTCTGCCTCCCCTAGTGCTGGGATTAAAGGCGTGTGCCACTGTCACCCAGCTTTATATCTGAAAATCCTAATTCGATGGGTCCAGATTGTTTTAGCGTGAGGAAAAGAGGGTGATGACAGAGTCACTGTTACAAAGCAAAGGGGAGGAAATGAACAGCTAGAGAGGCACGAGATCAAATACTGTTCTCGCCAGGCGGTGGTGGCGCACGCCTTTAATCCCAGCACTCAGAGGCAGAGCCAGGCTGATCTCTGTGAGTTCGAGGCCAGCCTGGTCTACAGAGTGAGTTCCAGGAAAGGCGCAAAGCTACACAGAGAAACCCTGTCTCGGAAAAAAAAAAAAATACCGTTCTGAAATTAAGGATGACAACAACCTCAAAGAGGTGGTGGCGGCGGCGCACACACGTCTTTAATCCCAGCACTCAGGAGGCAGAGGCAGTCCTAGCCTACCAAGTGAGTTGCAGGACAGCCAGGAATACACAGAGAAACCCTGTCTCAAAGAGGGAAAAAAAAAAAAAGAGAGGAATGGCCAAGGGTGTTCAAAGCCACAGTATGATGGGTTCTCAATTCCCATCTCTGAATCACTTAGCCAGGATCTGCCCTGCAAATTCAGACAGCAGAATGTTCTAGGGGGCTAAAAAAAAAAAAAAAGCTGTCATCCCTCCACTACTCATTAACACCAGTGTCTCCCTCTCAAATGTCAGAATTACAGGCTTGTACCATCATCACACCTGGCTTTATTTACTTATTTGAGGCCCAGTCTAGCTTTGTAGCTTTGGCTTGTCTGTCTGTCTGAGGCAAGGTCTTACTATGTAACCCTAGCTGAGCTGGAACTCATCACGTAGATCAAGCTAATCTCAAACTTGCAGCTATCCTCCTGCCTCTGCCTCTTCAGTTCAGAAAAGGAGTCCTGTCATACCCAGGTAGACATTCTATCTTTATTTCACTTGAAATGTGCCAGCAACGGATCTTAAAAGTGTAACATTTAATTGAGCATAACTTCACACTGAATATGCATACTGAATTTCAACCTACCTTGCAAGGCCAAAGGAATAGCTTCAATCTGGATCTTGGTGGGCTTTGCCCATCCCAACTGGTCACAAGCTTCGCACAATACATCTGTGACGCCCTTTGAATTCAGAAAACCGCACTTGAGCAAAGCATACATCCTCCCTTCCCTCCATTTTAAATGCCCTTCTTTATCGGAGCCCCCCTGCCGGGGATATGTAGCCCCTGACACTTGACATCATTGTGCATCTCAGCACCTACTTTATCTGAGCACCATGAGACAGCTCCCGGAGGAGACAGTTTCCAGTCACCAGGGACGGTGCCAACTGCTTTACATGTATTGTCTCATTTAACCGCCAAACCAGTTCTGACAAGTGGCTGGCTGTTGCTGTACCCAATTTACACGTGTGTAAAGTGAGGCAAGGAGAGCCCTAAGAGCTTGCTTGCCTTTGGTGACGGGGTCAGAAGGCAAAACTGATTCCAACTACCAAGACCCAATCACGCGTGACCCTGGATAAGAAACGGCTCGACACTACGGTGGAAAGGCAAATGGGGGCTCCCGGACTCAGCAGCATCCTACAAGGCAAATGCACCCGAGGGCGAGCGATGAGAGCCGGAGTTTCTAACAGTCTGAAGAAAGGCTAAGCTAGGCCCCAAAGTGCTTTTATACGCTACAGGCCTGGCTATAAAGTACCCAAACCCTGGGTGAGCCTCAGGCCAGCACCACAAAATAAATAGCAGCATCACCCATTCTCACCAGGTCCTTAAATGTTTTAGCTTCCTCCTCTTCCGCAGCTGTCTGAAGTGCTTCTGCGGAGGAATCGTGTTCCTCGGACGCCGCCATCTTGCCTGTGGCTTCCGGAAGTGGAACGGCGGCGCACGCGGTGCTGGGAAATGTAGTTTCACTCTTTCCTCGATTGCACGTTCTGCGCGCCCCCTGCTGGCTGCTCTGGGTTTGCAGCGCCCCACATCGGTGGGGCTTTGGAGAGCCCTAATGGTTAGAAGTCTGTGTGCATATGCAACTAAGCCTAGAAAAGTGACTAATGACACGCCATCCCTTTCTGCTGCCATTTAAGTCTCTGCCCCTCCCTTTTTTTTGTTTCTTGAGGCAGGATCTCATTCTGTAGCTGAGGCTTTCAGAGCCTTCTCTCTCTTCCCATTCTTACCACTTTTCTAACTGTAGAGATGTAAACACATGCAATATCTATTCATTACTTCATATATTCGGCAACTGACAACCGAATATATATATACTTGGATTGTGTTAGGTGTCTAGTGACAGGATAGGACAACATCAACTGCCCTAGGGGAGAGAAGGCAGATAATGAATATGCAATAACGGGTCACTTTAAATTGTAAAAAGTGCTATGATGTAATAAGCCCACATAAAAATAAGGGAACAAAGCCTTTGGAGATAGAGTTGTCAGAATTACTACAAAACTGGGGAGGTGTCTCTGAGGCAGTGATATTTGAGCTGGGACCTCACTCATAGCAGTTCAGGGGATAACTATTCAAGACTAGTGGATCTGTACATAAAAAAATTCCTGAGGCCAGTGAGATTTCTAAACACAGCCACCACTCAGGCTAGAGAGTTTCAGTGTATGTTGCATGTCCTGTACCTACAAGTGCACCCATATGGAGAGGCACAGGAGTTCTCAATGTGTGGGGTTTTCAAAGCAGCACTCTTTCTGAAATTGAGGAATCAGAGACAATCTGATGTCATTTTCTCTGGCAAAGTGTGTTGATAAAATGTGCGCAGGGTATATCACACATACCTTTAACAGCAGTTAGGGCTCCACGACCTGATGCTTCATGGGAACAGCATAGATTAGCTTACGAATATTTAAAATACAAGACTAAGACCAGGCAGTGGTGATGCACGCCTTTAATCCTATCACTTGGGAGACAGAGGCAGGAGGATCTCTGTGAGGCCAAAGCTAGCATGGTCTACAGAATGAGTTCCAGAACAACCAGGGCTACACAGAGAAACTCTGTATATACATATATGTGTGTGTGTGTGTGTGTGTGTGTGTGTGTGTGTCTGTATGTAGCAACATTCTGCCAAAACACAACGAAGCAGAAACTGCACTTGAAGCGTTTGTGATGGCTGCCTGTGGAGGGAGGGGAATTGAGAGGAAATTCAAAGTTGGGATTTCAAAACAGAAGAACAAGAGGTGAAAGAAGAAACAGAAAAAGCAAAGGAAGGGAACTGAGAGGAACTCAACCCAACTGCCTGACACCCTCTCATGCCAGTGCCTCAGAAGACCCCGATTTAGGAGCCCAGTGGGTGTCTGTAACAACAAAGAAGTGGTGAGACTTGGGAAGGTAGACTCAGGCCAGATCCTTCAGGGCTTGTGATAAAAGGTATGGGGTTTGGAGAGTTGTCCTAAACAGAGAAAAACTAGGGCAGGAAACTGATATGATCCGTGTAATCAAAACGCTGCTCTTAGCCGGGTGTGGTGGCGCATGCCCTTAATCACAGAGCCTAGGAGGTAGAGGCAGGCAGATCTCTGAATTCAAGGCTACCCTGGTCTACAGAGTGAGTTCCAGGACAGCCAGGGCTACACAAGGGAAACCCTGTCTTGAAAAACAAAACAAACAAACAAACAAAGCAAAAACATCGCTCTTACCCTCCATAATGCTGGTCTATAGAAAGGAAACTGGGAAAGGAGCCCAACTCAGAGACAAGAGATGATCTTTGTTTCCCGGGTTCAGGAGACAAAATGGACGCTAAGCACATGCTGTTTGGGTAAAGTGTTGGGAGCGGGCACCATGGCAGACCAGAGGGATTATTTATTTATTTATTTTGGTTTTTTGAGACAGGGTTTCTCTGTGCAGCTTTGGAGCCTGTCCTGGAACTCACTCTGTAGACAAGACTGGCCTCGAACTCACAGAGACCCGCCTGTCTCTGCCTCCCGAGTGCTGGGATTAAAGGCGTGCGCCACCACCACCCGGCAACTTTTCTAATTTAAATTAACCCATTTCTCTTCTTCTATGTTTTGCCTCTGGGCTTTTCACATTTCTTAATTCTATGTGTCTTTCTTCCCTTCTTACTGTGGCTGGCCGTGTGGCTGGGTGGCCGTGTGGCTGGGTGGCCGTGTGCCTGGGTGGCTGGCCCCTGGAGTCCTCCTCTCCTTCTCCTTTTCTTACTCCTAGCTCTTCTTTTTGAGCCTAGATTTCTCCTCCTGTTTATTCTCTCTGCCTTCCAGTCCTGCCTGTTTCTCTCTCCTGCCTATCTATTGGCCGCTCTTTCTTAGATCAATCAGGTGTTTTAGACAGGCAAAGTAACACAGCTTTATAGAGTCAAACAAACACAACATAAAAGAACACAACACATCTTTGCATCATTAAACAAATGTTCCACAGCATAAACAAATGTAACACACCTCTGCATCATTAAGCAAGTGTTCCACAGCAACCCTCTGTGTTTTCTATTCTATTTTATGTTCTTCAGCATCTCCTGTAGCCTAGGATGGCTTACCTCAAACTCCCTGTGTCTCAGAGGCTGACCTTAAAACTCTTGATCCTCCTGCCTCTGCTTCCCAAATGCTGGGAGGACACACATGCACTGTCACGCCTGGGAACTCAGGGGGTCTCTGACAGTGAAACACACTCTTTGGCAGAAGAGGGAGTTGACTCATCCTGCAGAAAGTCTGTTCACCACTGTAGCTCTGTCCTTTCCCCTCCTGGCTGCAGTTACACAGACCTCCTGAGGAATTCATTCTCTTACTTGACCAGAACCTAAGTCCCACAGAAAAAGACCTGTGTCCAGGATCATGCAGCAAGGTCACTGGGTGACAAGGTCAAGGCCAGAATCCAACATGCTTGAGGCCCAGATATGTGACTTTATTTTTTCTTTTATTCTCTCTCTCTCTGTCTCTGTCTCTGTCTCTGTCTCTGTCTCTCTCTGTGTCTCTGTCTCTCTGTCTCTCTCTGTCTCTCTCTGTGTCTCTGTCTCTCTCTCTGTGTCTCTCTGTCTCTGTCTCTCTCTCTCTCTGACAGGGTCTCACTAGGTAGCCCTGACCAGCCTGGAACTCACTCTATAGACCCCAACTGACCTGGAACTCCCAGAGAACTCCCAGAGATCCACCTGCCCCCAGTACTGGGATTAAAGATCACCACAGTCAACACCAGTAAGTTTCCTGAAGGTCATTGTGCGTTGTCAAGACCAGCTTCCCTCTGCGCTCTGAATTCTAAGCAAACTCTTCTCCACAAACCAAGAGGAGAGCCCCTGCAGCATTTCCATTTCCGCTGGATGGACTTGGATTTCCCTCAAGAGAGCAGGACAGGGAAATTAGAGCAGAGGGCAGCTGAGGGGCTGCAGAGACCAGAATCCCAGGTAGAAACAAGTGGAAGGGTAGTAGACGTAGATGCCACATCTAAAGGTACCCAAATTCCGATGTCACAGAAAAGAAAAACAACACATGTAATCTGTCTGGGAATTGACTGTGCCTCCCCTTTATTAACACCTGTGAGAAGTATGAGACGATAGGTGTGGTGATATATTTGTAATTCAAGAAATAAAACTTGCCTGAAGATCAGAGGACAGAGTCAGCCACAGAGGTCAGGCAGTGGAGGCACACACCTTTAATCCTAGCACCCGGGAGGCAGAGGCAGGGATATCGGGGACTAAGGGGGTCCAGCCCCTTAATAGTCCCCTCCCAGGGTCCAGGAAGACTCTACAACCAGCTGATAATTTAATCTTTAATGATAAAATGAATCTACGTACACGAAACTCTTTAGTCCATACACTTTATTCTTCTGAGTCAGTTTTTTTCTCTACACAGCTTCAATTCTGCTCCTTTCTTGCCTGATTTCTCTCTACATTTATCTGCTGTCCCTTCTAAGTTCTAACTTAATTCTCTCATCTCAGTTCTTCCCCATCTAGGTTCTCATTCATCTAGTTCTTTCCCATCTTAGCTCCTCTCCCATCTCCTTCTTTCTCATCTTGTTCTTCCTCATCTTCCATCTCGTTCCTCTAGTTCTCTCTTCTAGCCCATCAATCTAGTTCTTCCCCCATCTAGTTCCTCCATTCTCTTTTCTCTTCTCCATCTCATCCTTCTCTGAAAATAAAACTGCCTTTTTAATCACTTCGACCCTTATCTTTCCCAGCTACCCTCTGTTCCCTCTGGCAAGTGTGCTCGGTTGCTAGGCAACTTGGCTAGGCAACTTCCATCACAGCTAGATGTACCTGTAAGTTGGAACCCTTTAGTTCTGAGTTAATTGTTAAGGGTGGATCTGAAACCAGAGATAAGCCTTTAGGAATAGGAGAAAGTTAAGCTTAATTAGCACATCCGCCAGGCCTTCTCAAACAGATAGTCTGGATGCTTAAGGTCTGTTCTTAGAGAGTACAGAGGTATCTCTGATAAGATACTTTGGTCCCTCCAGGGATGGTCCTGGTCAGATGCTGGCTAATGACAATAATTACAGAAAGGCCTGAAATTAAGGCTCCTGGCTGCATTACTGCTCAGAAGGTTATCTAAGTATTCCTTAGTATGAGGGGAAAACTGTGCCCAAAGAATGATGGAAAAGCTACAGTAGCACACGAGAAATTCATAGTAGGGAAACGGCTGATAATCAAAAGCCAATGTCACCAAGACCTCCTTGAGCCTCAGCTTGACCTCTGGAAGGCCCTTGACTTCTTCCAGGTATTAGCTTGTCATAATCAGCTGAAATCCTACTTCATATATTTTTGTGGCTTGTAACACAGAGATACATCTGGATCTCTGTGAGTTCAAGGCCATGCTGGGTTACACCAAGATTAATCCAGTCCTAAAAGAGAAACAGACCCAGGCAGTGGTGGCACACACCTTTAATTCCAGCACTTGGGAGCATACACTTTTAATCCCAGCACTAGGAAGATTGAGACAGGAAGTGATTATATGCT